AACTAGCCTGGCCTTGAACGGGTCAGGTAGCCAGGCTGGTCTCAGATTTATAGTCCTCCTGTCTCAGCCTCTGGAGCCTTGCAATGAAAGGTGAGAGCTGTCACTACCATTGGGCATGTGGGGCAGAAACGGATGGAAGGTCTAGGGTGTAGGTGTTGTCTAAGACCAGCCCTGCCTTGGCTCTTTTAGAGTTAGGTCTCTTACAGGGGAGAGTGGGGAATGACGGGGCCCTGCCCCTCCCATCCCAGCCCTCACACGTGTAGAGGTCCCACAGAACCGTCCCCCTTTTTTTTCTGTACTCAGGGTCTCGGTGGCAGAGCTACAGACTCACCCGGAACTGGACACAGATGGGGATGCAGTGCTATCTGAAGAGGAGGCCCAGGTACCCCAAGCCTATCCTTGGCCTAGAGTGAATTCAGGGTGAGAGGGTCAAGGTAGGCCTCCTGGGGAGAGCTCCTTGTGGCTGCCTGGTAGAGCCCTAGATTAGCACCAGGGCAGCATGGCACCTGTCCCCGGCTTGCTCCCACTTACCTTCTGCTTGTTCCCTTAGTAGGAGTTTGTCTTTCTCTCTGCCTGCCGTCCCTGGCTCTGCCCCTCTACCATCTCTGCTGCAAATCGGGTCCTTCCCGGTTTGTCCTTCTGGACCTTTGCTTAGGGTGTAGCACGCTCTGGCACTGTGCCTCTGTGTGTCTGTGTCTTGTCTTGATGTCCCCTAACTTCCCAACCCCTGGGACCTCCTTCAGGCCTGGGTTGTCCCTCCTGGTCATATAGTTCCTGACCCATCTGCTATGGCCTGGTCCCTAGTTGTGAGTGGCAGGGTGTGTGGGCCTCTGGGGGCCCTGACCTTGACCCTACTCCAACGCACACAGGCCCTTCTCAGTGGGGACACAGAGACTGACTCTACTTCCTTCTATGACCGTGTCTGGGCTGCCATCAGGGACAAGTACCGCTCTGAGGTCTGTGGGAAAAGGAAGGGAAGTGGTCCTATTGCCAACCCCTCACAAAAATACCATCTCCCGTGCTGGTACCCAGTCCTCCATGGAGGCCAGCCCTCCCAGACTTGGGAACTAGTGTTCTCCAGCCTTGAGGTCTCAGCATTGGCCTCTACAATCCCGGGCCTGCCAGGTGCTGCCCACTGATGTGCCTGCCCCTTCTGCTCCGGATGTGATTGAGCCCAAAGAGGAGCAGCCACCAGTGTTGCCGCCCACAGAAGAGGAGGAGGAGGAGCCAGAAGAAGAAGAGGAGGAGGAGGAGGAGGAGGAGGTGCAGGGGGAGAAACCCAAGGTTTGTGTTGGGAGAATGGTGGGCAGATGGGTGGGTGGGACTGCCTGCTGACTGGGCCCTACCCCCTCCCCAGGAGGCTCCAGCCCCTCTACAACCCCCACAGCCTGCCAGCCCCACTGAGGATGAGAAGATGCCACCCTATGATGAGGAGACACAGGCTGTCATCGATGGTGAGTGGGACCTGCTGGGAAGGGGTCCAGCTCCCTGGCCCTGTGATGCCCGTGTTGCTTGGAAATTACTGTTTCTGTCCCCGAGTCCTCCCTCCTCCTGGGCCGCGCTTGTTTGTAAAACGTGCATAACAGGCCAGGAACCAGCGGGGTCCCAGGAGCCCTGGCCTGTACTCTAGAGAGCCCGGCAACAGAGGAGGTTCACTCTGCACTGGTTGGCCTATCCTTGTCGGGGACAAGCCCAGAGCGTGAGAGGCAGCTGTCATGTTCTCTGTGGGGCCCTATTCTGTGTCTTTTGAGAAACTGGGGCCCACTCTCACCTCCCGTCCCTCAGCTGCACAAGAGGCCCGGAATAAGTTTGAGGAAGCCGAACGGTCCTTGAAAGAGATGGAGGAGTCCATCAGGTGAGCACCAAGGCCACCTCCTGCCCGGTGACCGTCTACCTCCAGTTCCTTGGAGGAGGTGTCAGCCTGGTTCTTGCAGGGCTCCAAGCACAGCCTGTGTCTACCCACCATACATACAGCTGGGCCTTCTTTGTGGGGCTCTCCTGTCCTTGTACCCCCTTCCCCTGGACCCTTCTGTGTGGGGCTCTCCTGTCCTTGCACCCCCTTCACCATCGGATCTGCTTTTCCAGGAGTTTGGAACAAGAGATCTCCTTTGACTTCGGTCCCCATGGAGAGTTTGCATACCTCTACAGCCAGTGCTACGAGCTCACAACCAACGAGTACATCCTGGCACTGATGGGAGGGGTGGGGGGGCAAGATGCAGGGAGGAGGGCACTGGGCAAACCAGGAGTTACAGTACCTATCTGAGATCTCATCACTGGGGGACTGAGGCAGGAGGACCTCAGCTGAGTCTGGGCTCCATTCCTAGCACCTCGTGAAACTGAGCATAGTGGCACCTGCATGAGGTGGGTGCAAGGAGGATCATAAGTCCAAGGCCAGTCTCAGTTACTTGAGCATGTTTGAGGTCAGCCTGGGTTATGTGAACCCTGTCTCCAGAAGGGAACACAGGCAGGGTCCAGGGGTCAGTGGGCATTGAAGTGCCAGTGAGCCACCTGTCTGCCTAGATACCAAGGAGACTGGGAAGGGCTTTGAGGTACCAGGGTCCCCATAGCTGTCAAGCCTGTCACTCAGCAGCCCTTCTCCCTGCCCTTAGGTACATCTATCGGCTTTGCCCCTTCAAACTGGTCTCCCAGAAACCCAAACATGGGGGCTCTCCGACCAACCTTGGGTGAGTGGGTTGAGGTTTGTTGCCCTTACCTTGCCCCCAACCACCCACTGACCAGGCACTCAGCACCCCTGCTCTCTCCCATAGCACATGGGGCTCGTGGGCTGGCCCCGATCATGACAAGTTCAGTGCCATGAAGTACGAGCAGGGCACCGGCTGCTGGCAGGGCCCCAACCGTTCAACCACAGTGAGTGTCTGACCTGGGGCTGTGGGGACCCGGGCCTGGACCAGTCCAGCTCAGCATGGCTCCTGCTCTCTCCCCATCCCCAGGTGCGCCTGCTGTGTGGCAAAGAGACCGTGGTGACCAGTACCACGGAGCCCAGTCGCTGTGAGTACCTCATGGAGCTGATGACACCAGCAGCCTGCCCAGAACCGCCACCAGAAGCACCCACTGAGGGAGACCATGATGAGCTGTAGCCTGGTAAGGAGACTGGGTCTCTGTCTGCTCTAGTGTGGGTGTTGCTACTCCCTGTGCTCCTAATGTTCTCTCTCTCTCTCTCTCTCTCTCTCTCTCTCTCTCTCATTCATTCATTCAGTTTCTCAAGATAGGGTTTCATTTCTCTGTGTAGCCTTGGCTTTCCTGGAACTCACTATGTAGACCAGACTGGCCTCGAACTCAATAATCCACCTGCCTCTGCCTTCCAAGTGCTGGGATAAAAGGCATATGCCTTTTGTGTGCGTGCGTGCGAGCGAGCGAGAGAGAGAGAGAGAGAGAGAGAGAGAGAGAGAGAGAGAGAGAGATACACTAGAGTAAAGGTCAGAGGACAGCTTGAAGGTTGGCTCTTTTCTCCACCACATGGGCCCAGACACGGAACTTAGGCCAGCCCCTTGCCCTGACCCCCTGAGTTAACTTGGCAGGCCCATGTTTTTTTAGACTGATTTTTGGTTTGTTTGTTTGTTTGTTTTTGACACAGGATCTCTCTACATAGCTCAGGCTGTCCTGGAACTCACTGTACAGACCAGGCTGGCCTCACATTCACAGAGACCTGTATACATCTGTCGTCCAAGTGCTTAAGACAGTTTTATTGCCAGGTGGTGGCAGTGCATGCCTTTAATCTCAGCACTCAGGAGGCAGAGGCAGGCAGAGTTCTATGAGTTTGAGGCCAGCCTGGTCTACAGAGTGAGTTCTAGGACAGGCTCCAAACAAACACAGAGAAACCGTGTCTCAAAAACAAAAAAGACAGTTTATTGTGTAGTCCTTACTGGCCTTAAGCATTGGTCAGTCCTGCCCGCTGTGCCACCCACCTCGCCCAGTGTATGAGGTACTGTCGACTGAACCCGGGCTTTCTGTGCTAGGCACACAGTCTGCCAGCCGAGCCACATCCTCCAGAAATAACTTAAGTTTCCAGTGCTGGTGTGCTTGCTTTTGCACCAACCCATGTTCCAGACCCTCCGTCTTTCTAATTCTGTCTTCCATCCTAGAACCTCAAGGCCTGAAACCTGTCTACTGATCCTGCAGTCTGTGGACCAAGGCCTGCCCACCCAGGGTTCCTGGCCATTCTCCAGGTAGCAGGAACCCCGTGGTGCTCTAAGCCCCGCTTCTGGCCCAGGCTAGCCAGGCCATCCATATTCCTGAGGCCCCAGCGGCCTCCAGAGATGGATAAAGGAGCTCACCCTCCTTGGATTTTTGGGTGGGAGTTAATTCCTGCTCCACCTCACCCCTGCCTTCCCAGCTGGTAGGAGATGAGTGGATGACTTCACACGTGACCTCAGAACAATAAATGTGACTCGTCCTTATTGGCTGTGTGTGCCTTTTTTCCCCTGTTGGTCTATATAGTTGAGGCCAGCCTCAGGCTGTCTCCTACCTCAGTCGCTCAGGGCATGGGCCAGTATGCCTAGCTAGGTCTGCCTTCATTTTGGGGTGTGAACAGGAGGCAGATGTGGAAGGTGGTGGGTATTGCTGTCAACTTAACAGGGTCTGGAGTTGCCTAGGAGACAGACCTGGCTGTAGTTACAGGGAAGGAGCAGAGGTCAGGCTTGGTGACGTGTGCCTTAGCTCCTGTAGCCATCTCTGTTTCCTGGCTGCAGCGCCAGCAGCTGCAAGCTCCTGCCATGTCTTCCTGCCGTGATGGACTGGACTGTTGAACTGTGTCAGGTATGGTGTCACGGCTGCAGAATTGACACCTAGGGAAGCAGCTAGGTGTAGCCCCTTGCAGCACTGCAACCCTCGGTAGACAGTAGACTGTCGTCAGTGTCCTGAGTCTCCCATGGGGAGTGGAGGCTGCCATCCTTAGAGATCTCAGCCCAGGGAGGGATGGCATCCTTTCCGGGGTGTCCCAGCACACCTCTGACCACCCCTGTCCACAAATCACCTGAGGCTTAAGATTCTGAACTTTTTATTTTCTGGCATGAAAAGTACAAATAATTAAACAATTCCATGTAAAAGTCAGTTACCGCGGCCAGGCCTGGAATCTCGGTAATAAATAGTCTAAACGCAACTTGAAGTGTTTGTGGGTTTGGGTTGAGGTTTGTTTTTTTTTTTTTCTACAGTTCTTTATATCACCTCCAACATGGACTCTGTTATGGTTTGAAACTTTCCCAATAAACAGGATGAAGGAAGGGTTGGAGGGGCTGAGCCCCATTCCCACTGGCCCTGCCCGTGACCCCCAGGGATTTTGGAAGACCCAAGGGCTCCTCTCTCTGGGAGCCCTTGGCCTGGCCCTCCTGGGGGACTGGCCTTCAGGGAGGGGGCCTAGCTGGGCTAAGCTTGTATCTTAGAAAAAAAGTCCCCTCCTCCCAGTCTTGGGGACAGCAGGGACCTAGGCCTTGGTGGGAGGGGGTGGGGGGAGAAGCCCCCTCTTCAGAGCCGGCCCTCCCCCCAGGGTGGGGGACAAACCCAGCCCTTATTGCTCGGATGCCTCCAGCATGTGTGGAGGGCAGGGGGAGACCCCAGAAACAGCAGGAAAAGAAGGGGTTGCACCCTCCTGGAGGTGGGGAGTCCCTGTCCTGCTGGGAGGGATGGGGGAGGATTAGGGCAGACTTAGAAACCACCAGAATAAATAGGTTCGGTGTATCATGAGCAAGCTAGAGTTCACCAGCTAAATAGACAGAAAAACCTCTCAAGACAATAGCAAAACAATCCCATTGAGAGGCCCTGGGCGCCGATAGCTGTGGGGACCCCACCCCTCGGAGCCCACGGCACCCCCGGGGGGGCACTCCGCTACCATTACTGTTATTAATAATTATTACTTTAATGACTCCACTTCCCCTTTTTATAAATAAATTAGGCATAACCACATCTCAGCAAAACTGAAAGAAAAGGGACATCTTCCTTCAACTTGCAAACCAATGAAAGAACAGAAATATACACAAAGGTCCTTACAGGCCAACAAGGGTAATAAATAGTTAACATAGCAATAAGTTAAAACTACATGAAGCTAAATTCAGCAAAAAAGTACGAGAAAGTTAACTGGTGACAGTTTATCTTTTTTTCCTTTTTTTTTTTTGTTTTTAAATTGTCTTTGTGTGTGTTTTTGTCTTTTTTCCTTTCTTTCCTGTTGCTATATTTCATCTTCTGTTTGAGTTTTCTTTCTTTTCTTTTTTTTCCGTTTTTTATTTTTTGGTCTTTTTTTAATTTTTTTTTTCTTTTTGTTCCTTGCAGCAGAAATTCCACAGACGGTTAAGAACAACACCAGGAGGGGTGGGGAGAGAGAGTTGGACGCTCAGATGGGGCCGTGGCCAGACACCAAACGCAGAGGACACCGGAAGAAAGCAACTAGAACTAGAGGGTGGGGTGGGGTGGGATGGGGTGGGGCTTCACGATTCTCAGTTGTGACTGGGCCCACTGAGGAGTGGGTTGAAGGTTTGGGGCTCCCAGGGGCTCCAGCCTGTGGCTTCTGTTGGAACTTGCATAAAAGAATAAAAAGAGTGGGGTTATGGATGCAAAATTCAGTCAGAAGCCAGGGCCGGGGCTCATGAAGGCTGCATCCATGGTTCCCCCAACAATCAAAAGGTGACAGGTTGATGGGAAGGGGTGTGGGGACACCCCTGGGTCTGGGGAGTGTTCTGGGTGCTTGCTGCAGTGGGGAGCACACTGGCCCTAGTTGAGGGAGGAGACTGCAGACCTCCCCCTGGACCCAGGGAGGCTGAGTCCCAGGGGCAGGGGGTCCTTTGGCCTCAGTGTTGTGGGGAGTGAGAGCCCCCTCCAGCCCACGGTGATGCCAAAGTAGAACGAGGTATTGTGTGTTTGGATGCATGGATGCCATATGTGTGGGCAGCAGGGAGGCCCCTGGTGGGCTAAGGAGTCTGTGCAGAGAACCTGGGGCTGGGGCTTATTGGGGGCCCAGGGAGAAGTGGCTGGACCAGCCTGGCTGGAGGAAGTAACTGGGTCAGGGTCTCCAGTAGGAACGTCTTGTCTGGGCCTGTAGGATGCTGCGGACTTGGGTGTATGTCCTTAGGTGTGTTGTATGTTTGTAGGTGACCTGTAGGATGCTGTGGGCATGGGTGTATGTCTTAGATGTTGTATGTTTGTAGGTGACCTGTAGGATGCTGCAGACTTGGGTGTATGTCCTAGGTGTTGTATGTTTCTAGGTGACCTGTAGGATGCTGTGGACATGGGTGTATGTCCTAGGTGTTGTATGTTTCTAGGTGACCTGTTTGTTTTTGTTTTTTGAGACAGGGTCTTATATAGCCCCGGCTAACCTAAATTCCCTATGTAGCCAAGGCTAGTCTTGACCTGATCTTCTGCCTCCGCCTCTCAAGTACTCAGATTAAGGAGGGCTGTGCACCAGACTCCAGGTTTCTGCAGTGCTGGGCTGAACCAGGTCCACCAACCGAGCGGCAGAGTCCTACATCCAAATGGGTCTGTCCCAGTGGCTTTCACACATCACATGGTTTTGTGGACAAGCAACCAATGTCTGTATCCTTGTCTACACAGCCCCAGGGTCCCGTGTGTCTCCTCTTCTCTTGTAGCTTTGGTCACCCTTCCTGAATGTATCCTGAAATGTTTCTGTATGTGTTGTGTATTTGTGTCTCCAAAGTCCAAGTGTATGTCCCTCCTGTCTTTGTGTGTGTGTGTGTGTGTGTGTGTGTGTGTGTGTGTGTGTGTGTGCACTGGCAGCCCTGTGGACTTTCAAACCCTCAGCCCTGCTCCCTGCACCCCCACCCCAGTTAGTTGGTAAACATAACTTGCCAAAATAGTTTCTTTTTTTTTTTTGTCTTTTTTTGTGATTTTTTTTTCAAGTTCAAGAATCCCCAGTAAAAATTCTCCACGAGGTCTTTTTCCCTTTTTACAAAAATAGAGTTTTTCTTCCCCCCCCCCCCCCCCCCCCCCCTTTTTTTTTTTTTTTTTTTTTCTGCTTCCTACCCTGCCCCAACCCTGCTCCCTGTACTCTGCCTAGGGACTGGGGCCAGGGATGGGGATGCCCACACCCCTCTTCCATGTTTTTTGCTGTTTTGGGGATTTTTAAACCTGTTCCCTCCCCTTTCTCTCGGTATAGGACAGGCCTGGACAAAGGAGGCCTGGGTGGGGCACTGATGTGTCCCCTAAGCCATCCCATGCAGGGTGGAGGGGTGAGGTGGGATGGGGGGGTCTCCTCTCTGCTTTCTTCTTTTTGTTTTTAGCCAAAAAAAGAAACAAAAGCCATCACCATGAACCAAACCAAGACGAGAGAGTGAACAAGCCCCAGCTGGGTGGGGAAAGCAGGGAGGATGGGGGGGACCCCTCCCCCTTGATTCCCTGCAGACCCTCCCCATCCCGATGCTCACCCTGTGGTGTTTTTTGCAAGTGTGTGGGTCTTCCTGCTCTTGCAATCACGCTCTTTCTCTCTCTTTCTCCCTCTCTCTCTCCCTCTCTCATTCTCTCTCTGCTGCCCAGGGAGGGAGGGCGGTAAATGCTCAGGCCTTGTGCTGCTTGCTGGTCTTGAAGGACACCTGCAGCACGCGCTCACCCAGGCGGTAGCCGTTGAGGCTGGCGATGGCCATGGCTGCCTCATCGTAGTTGGTCATGGTGACGAAGCCGAAGCCCTTGCACTTGTTGGTGGTGAAATCCCGGATGACCTTGACATTGGTGACTGCCCCAAAAGGTCCGAAAAGCTGCCACAGCACGCTCTCATCAGCTTCCGGGGACAGGTTGTACACGAAGATGCACCAGCCAGCGCCTGCTGCGCCTCCGGACAAGCCCACACCTGCCAGGCTGCTCATGCCATCGATGGCGATTGGGGAGAACCTGGCGATGAGCGACAGGGGACTACTTTGGGGGTCACGCGGGCTCTGCCCTGATCCCCAGCATGCCTCCGACACCCGCCCAACTGGGAGAACCCTATATTGTGTGCTATGTGTGTAGGACCCTTGTAGTGTCCTAACCTAGCTGTGACCCATTGCTTGTCTCTGACCTCATTGAGACACTAGCCCCTGACCTGCAACCTGTCTTGACCTCCAACACTCTCCAAATATCGCCTATGATCCTGTCCTAAAGTGCCATCTTTATCCGGATCTCGTGACCTTTGACCCTACCTAATCCTGAGCCCTGCTGATCTTCACCCTTCCATAGGGACACTCTGTCACTCAGCTTCTCTCTGTGACCCAGTTGGCTCTGAACTCACTATATAGTCAAGGGTGGCTTCTTGGTTTTGTTTTTCTTCCTTTTTGCCTGCTGATCTTAAACTTGTGCTTCTCCTGCCTTTACCTCCCGAATGCTGGCATTGCACACCTGGCTGACAGCGCTGGGATGGAACCCAAGGCTTTGTGCATGCCAGGCAAGTGCTCTTCCAATTGAGCTGCATCCCCAGTCCCCACCCCTTCAAAACTAACTCTGGGGTGTGTGTGTGTGTGTATGAGAGAGAGACAGACAGACAGGGACAGATGGAGAGACAGAGACTGCTTCTGTACTCCACCCATGCTGACCTTGAACTGAATTGCAGTTCTTGCCTCAGCTGATGAAGGAGCCCAATGCAGGTAACAGCTGAGCCCTAGCTCTTCTTTTTTGGCCCAAATCTGACCCTGTCCTGGTACCAATCTTCCCTGACAGCTCTGACTCCATTTTGACTTACCCTGTGTGGGTAGAAACTGGCCCTACGAGACCAGCATAGGGCTCACTATGTAGACCAGGCTGGCCTTCAGAGATCTTCCCTAGTGCCGGGATTAAATGCACCATGCTCAGTTTGGACTTATTTCATTTTTATGTGTGTTTGCCGGCATGTATGTAAGTGAAACACATGCACACGTGGTGCTTGCAGAAGCCAGTGTGCTGTGGGACAATGGTCTTATACCGTGGAAAGATTTGTCATTTGTATTGGTTTACTAAAATGCTGATTGGCCAGTAGCCAGGCAGGAAGTATAGGCGGGGTGACCAGAACAGGAAAATTCTGGGAAGAGGAAAGGCTCAGTCTGCAGTTGTCACCCAGACACAGAGGAAGCAAGATGAGAATGCCTCACTGATAAAAGGTATCAAGTCGGGGCTGGAGAGATGGCTCAGAGGTTAAGAGCATTGCCTGCTCTTCCAAAGGTCCTGAGTTCAATTCCCAGCAACCACATGGTGGCTCACAACCATCTGTAATGAGGTCTGGTGCCCTCTTCTGGCCTGCAGGCATACACACAGACAAAATATTGTATACATAATAAATAAATAAATAAATTAAAAAAAAAAAAGGTATCAAGTCACGTGACTAACATAGACAAGAATTATGTCTTATATGTAAGATATAAGAGTTAATAAGAAGCCTGAGCTAATAGGTCAACTAGTTTATAAATAATGTAGGCCTCTGTATGTTTCTTTGGGACTGAATGGCTGGGGGCCCAGGTGGGACAGAAACCTCTGCCAACACTAGTAGGGGGCATCAGAACCCCTGAAACTGGAGTTACAGAGAGCTGTGAGCCACCATGTGGGTGCTAGAAATAGAACCTGGGTCCTCTGCAAGAACAAGTGATCTTAACCACTGGGCCTTTGCTCCAGCCCATGTTTTGGATTTTTGAGACTGGATCTCACTGTATAGCCCAGGCTAGCCTCTAACTTGTAATCTTGGTGAATCTGCCTTCTGAGTTATAGGGATCAGAAGTTATATAACCATAAGGAATTTCTAATACAATTTTATTAACTGTATTATTATTAGTGTGTGTGTGTGTGTGTGTGTGTGTGTGTGTAGGAGGAGGAGGAGGAGGAGGAAGGGGGTGCATGTGCTATGACACATGTGGAGGGCAGAGGACAAGTCTGCGGAGTTGGTTTTCTCCTTCCACCTTATATGGGTTCTAGGTATTAAACTCAGGTGGTCAGGCTTGCGTGGCAAGCCCCTTTACCCTCTGAACCATCTTGTCAGCCCACACTCATGAATTTTAAATTGCACACTGAATATGGTTAGGTGGCTTAGGACTATAATTATAGTTCTTGGAAGGCCAAGGACACATAGCAAAAACTTGTTTTGAAACAAATGCTTTTGACTCTTGGATCTGTCCAAGCTTTAACACACTTCCATTCTCAAGAGTGCCTTTCTTGTTAAGTCTGTCTCTCCCTCTCTCCATCCCTGTCCCTCTCTCCCTCCCTCCCTCTCCTCCAGAACTGGGGTCTCAGACATGCTCTGTCTCTCCAGGGTTTGTGTGGATGCTGAGATCTGAAGTCTGGTCCTCGTGCTTGTGTCACACTGGGCCAGCTTCCCAGCCCCAAACTGCCCCTGTCCTTGCCCCTGCTTCACAAAAAGTCGAGTATGGTAGACGGCTCATGTCATCCTAGCACTAGCAGTGGACACAGGAGCACGAGGAGCTCCATGTCCTTTTCATCTATACCTTCAGTTTGATGTCAGCCTGGGACACAGGAGATGACAAAACCAAAAAAGAAGATGCCTTTCTTCTAACACTCAGAAGTTAGGGACAGGGAGGTTTTTGTGAGTTCAAGGCCAGTCAGATACATAGTAAGACCCTGTCTAGAAGAAGAAAAGAAGGGAGAGAAGGAGAGAGGAGGAGGAAGAAAAGGAAGAAATAAAGGGATAAACGAGGAGAATGAAAGGAGAGCCTGCACCCTGTTCTGAGCAGCGTGATAGAAGGTCACATTGATTGGCCAGTCCCCGTGCGGCACGTGCTGCTCTCCCGCTGGTCACTTAGCTGGCTCAGTAGCAGACTGACTGTCTAAAATCATAGTCTCTGTGTTAAGGACCCCTTATTTTAACTGACTAATGCTGGTGATTTAGAGATGCCTAAGAGAAACTGATAAAAATGTTTTCTTTAAAGGAAAAGGTGAAAGTTTTTCACTTATGGAAAAGAGGGGATTATATGCTAAGGCCACTAATACCTCAAGAAAGGACAAAGCTGTGAAATTATGAAGAAGGAGCTGGCCTGGTGACGCAGGCTTGTCATTCTAGGATGTGGAGACAGGAGAATCACAAGTTCGAAATAAAAGTAAGAAGATAAACCGAACATCCCTGCAGCCCCACATTCAGGAGGGAGAGGCAGAAGGAGCAGGGTTCAAGGACATGCCCGGCTTAGGCTTGCTGACCTGCCTGTGCTACCTGCCTGAAACCCTGTGTCAAGAAACAAAGAGAGCTGGGCAGTGGTGGCGCCTCCCAGCACTTGGGAGGCAGAGGCAGGCAGATCTCTGTGAGTTCGAGGCCAGCCTGGTCTACAAGAGCTAGTTCCAGGACAGGCTCCAAAAGCTACAGAGAAACCCTGTCTCAAAAAACCAAAATAATAATAATAATAATAATAATAATAATAATAATAATAATAATAATAATAAAAACTAGGGCTAGTGGCACATGCCTTTAATCCCAGCACTCAGGAGACAGAGGCAGGCGGATCCCTGTAAACTTGAGGCCAGCCTGGTCTACAGAACGAGTTCCAGGTCACCAGGCTACACAGAGAAACCCTGCCTCATAAACAAACAAACAATCACATAAACAGTAAGTAGAAATTTAAGTAAATAAGATATATAGAGGTTTCCATGTCAATCTCTTGTCAGGCACAAGGAGTCTCGGGATGTGTCCCTGACGTTGTCTCTGGGATATCTCACCCCTCGGGTAACACTTAGTAGGTTGTCTGTTGACTAAATTAATTAAAGGATAGAAAGCCATATTCCCATTGACTCTCTCACCCTCAGGATTAATCACTCAGCTTGGGCCGAAGACTCTGAAAGTCTAAACCCCTTAGCCTTGACCACAGGGACTCAGCTCACTGCTGCCCCTGCTGCCAGGCTCCCGCCTCTTCTGGTCACCATGTCGTGACCCTTATGCTGCCCTTGCATTACCCTGACCACCATTTGCTCAAACATCTCATCCCTGTGGAGCTAAGAACATGAACATCGGCGACAGTATTTATACTTGGCCACCTTTTATTATGTACCAAGCACTGTGTTCTGTCTCGAATTCATGTCCAGGAGAGAGCAAGTCTGGGCCGCGCTGCATCCTTGGCCTCAAGCCCAGTTTTCGATATGCAACATGTTCCCAACAGCTTGTGACACAATAAACATGGAGACTTTCACAAGAGTAGGGGTACGGATGAAGCTAGGATGCCTTCAAGGTTTATAGCAACTGTGGGGAGGAAAGGAAACCTTCCAAGGCCATTGACAAAAACCCAGCAATGACAGCTGATGGATGGGGCTCAGAAATGGCTTAGCTAGAGTCCCCCAGTGAGGGCCTGGGGGCATGGCTTGGTGCAGGCCTAGCATGCAGGAGTCCCGGGTCCCATGCCTAGTGCAGAACATAGCAGTGGTAGTGACTCGCAGAGAGCTAAAGTGGGGATTGGGGCACAAGAAAGGGGTGAAAGCCACAGACAGCTCTCCATGCCCCACCTTCTGTAGCCACTTTCTCTATCCCACCTTCTGTAGCCACTTTCTCTATACGTCCGCTCTGCTCAGAGTCTTGAGGTTATCATCTCCTAGATACAGGCCGAGATGGGTTCCCAGTGGTCCCAGGGACAAGGGACATGCAGGGGTTAAAGGAGGCCATCATGGTGAGGGGCTGTGGGAAGGACAGTGGGGACAGGAGCACTGTTACCTTTTGACTCCATAGGCCATGTTGAGCAAATTGTCCAGCCTGTGGAGGCAGAAACCGCTGTCAGAGTAGCCTGTGACCCACCCCCTGTGATGTGACAGCTAGTCCACCCCACCCCCACAGCCTTCAACAACCCGCCCCCCCCCCCCCCTCGCTGCTTGCTCCCAGCCCGGCTGGACACCGCCTGGCACGGAACCTCACTCATTCGGGACTGCTTCTCACCAGCCCTGCTGCTGCCCAGCCTGAAGGATTTTGTCCTGCCCTCCCGATGCCTCCGTGGGCCTTGCCAGGAGGACCCAGGGGTTGATGGTGGTACAGCCTCAGGGGGTTTTCCTGAGCTTACGGGAGGGTGGGAAGAGCACACAGCCACCCCCACAGTATCATTGTTCCCATTGACCTCCCGTGGCCAGGGTCCTGCGTTCAAGTCTTCTTTCAGGCTTTTCCATGCTCCGTCTCAGGTGAAAAAAATCTCAGTGAATGGCACGTAACAAGCTCTGTTCTACCCAGTTACCATGCAGGAAATATGATCATGATTGGCACACAGAATATGAAAGGGATTGTTTGGTGGGTGTTATCCATGAGAAAACTGAGGCACAACTGGACCCAGGGAGCAGGCCAGAGATAGACAGAGAAACACACCGGTGCAGAGGAAGAGACCGAGATATGGAGATAAAGAGACAGACAAAAAGCCTAGAAGAGAACGTAAGGAGAGACGGACAGGCACAGAGAAAGATGAGAGAGAAAGGACAGGCCAGACACACAGAGAAAACTGGGAGACAGGGTGTCCAGGTTGTTGTTGTTGTTTTCCATTGTTGTTGTTGTTTGGCTTGTGTTTTTTTGTTTTGGTTTGCTTTTTGTCAATTTGGCACAAGTCTCAGAAGAGGAACTTCTATTGAAAATACACTTTCATCACATTGGCCTGTGGGATATTTCCTTGATTGATGTGGGAGGTTGATTGATGTGGGAGGGCCCAGCCCACTGTGGGCAGTGCCTCTTCTATGCAAGTGGGCCTGGGCTGTATAAGAAAGCAGACTGAGCAAGGTATGGACAGCCAACCAGGAAGCAGTGTTCCCCCATTTTCTCTGCTTTCCAGGTTCCTGCCCTGATTTCCCTTCACGGTGAACTGTTTGCTATTAAGATGAAAATCAACTTTCTCCTCACATTGTTTTGGGTAATGGCGCTTTATCACAGCAATAGAAACCATGACCAAGACACAGGGAGAGACAGACAGACAGACAGAGACAGAGAGAGAGAGAGAGTCACAGTTGACTTCTCTTAGCTACCAACTGCAGCTGCCAGCAGAGACTGAGCTCCTGCTCTATGTACTGGCACATGCCCTTTCAGGCTCCTGCTGGCGAGGTGTCCCTGGGTTCCATTTGAAGAAAACTGGTTCAGGGAGGGCAGCTGCAGGCTTGGGGCTCTTGACCTGGGGGTCTGGGGACTCTGGCTCACCGGAAACGCTGTGTCTGATGATGTAGAGGACCCGCGTAGCGCCGGGCAGAGGACTGGTACAGGTGGGTGAGCAGGGCCTGCCCTGTCTTCTGACTCGGGTTGTTTGCGAATTTGACCGTGATTGGCTCAGCCGCACCTAGTGGTTTCTGCCCATTCAGTCCCTTGATGGCCTCCTCAGCCTCGATCCTCTTGTCAAAGCGGATGAATCCCACACCCCGAGAGACACCTGCCAGGGGTGTGAGGGCATCAGTCTCAGGTACTCTATACCTCTCCATGTGACTCTCCCCTCCCTGGGACACCTTGGCCCAGAGCACCCTCTCCTCTTGGCATTCTGACCTGTGGCCTGGTCCAGCAGGATTCTCGAGGTGATGATGCGACCATACTGGGAGAAGAGCTGTTCCATCTCCTTCTGGCTCATAGTCTTCGGGAGGCCACTGACGTACAGGTTAGCATCCCGAATAGAGGCAGAACTGGGGCGTGCATAGGATACCTGGGCCAGGGGTCAGAGGAAAGTGAGGGTACATGGAAAATGACAAGGCTCAGGAATGACCCCCCACACTCCCAATAGTTCATTTAACAAGTAGCTCAAGGCTGGAGCTGGGGCTGACTGGGTGGAGTACTTGTCTAACATGCAAGAAGCTTGGCTTCCATCCCAGCACCACATAAACAAAGTAATATACACCTGCCATCCCAGGACCTGGCAGATGGAGGCAGAAGGATCAGAGCTAAGTTGTCCTCTACTACATATTAAGTTCAAGCCTGGCCTGGGCCACATGTGACCCTGTCTCAAAGAACAAAGCAGAAGGTTGGGGAGATGGCTCCGTTGGTAAAGAGCTTGCTGCCAAAGACTGAGTCCCTGAGCTGGATCCCACACCCACATAAGAAAACAAAGCAAAACCAGAAATAACCAGGCAGGCCATGGCGATGGCTCCATGGATGAACTGCCTGCTGTGGAAGATGAGACCCTGAGTTGGTACCAACCAACAGTGGAGGAGAAAACCGACTCCCAGCATCCTCCGACCTCCACATCCCCACAGCAGCATGTATGTGCATACTCCCCACAATAACAACAATATTTTTTTTTTATCTAAAACGATAAGTTCAATGTTCTGGTGCACACTTGTCATCCCAGCTCTAGGAGGGGCCAGGCGATCCCTAGCTTCACCAGCAGCCAGCATGAGCTTATGAGCCCTGCCCGGTTCTGGGTCTCAGAAAAGAAAAAGTTTGGAAGAACCAGGAGTGATGTCACACGCTTTTAATCCCAGCACTGGGAGGCAGAGGCAGGTGGACTCCTGTGAGTTTGAGGCCAGCCTGGTCTACAGAATGAGTTCCAGGACATCCAGGGTTGTGTGGTTGAGACCTTATCTCAGACAAAACACATAAAACAAAGCAAACCAGGAAAGGCGGTGGGAGTGGGGTGCAGCAGGGTGGTGGGGGTGGGGGTGGACCGGGGGGGGGGGGGGGGGTGGGGTGCATCAGGGTGGTGGGGGTGGGAGTAGGGTGCAGCAGGGTGGTGGGGGTGGGGTGCAGCAGGGGGGTGGGGGTGGGGTGCAGCAGGGTGGTGGGGGTGGGGTGCAACAGGGTGGTGGGGGTGGGAGTGGGGTGCAGCAGGGTGGTGGGGGTGGGTGGGGTGCAGCAGGGGCTTGGCTGGAAACGTTCATTCCTCAAAGGACCTGCCCCTGCTTCTCAGACCCATGTGCAGTATGAACTGAGCCCAGAGCTGTAAATATAAGGTTGTGCCTTTTAGGGGTGGGGTGGGGTGGGTGAGGTGGGTGGGAATTATCATCCCCGAAAACTATATCAGACTTATTTATAATCTTTGCAAACTCAAACCAAAAGGATCCAACTCGCATTTGTCTTAAAAATGATAAAAATAATAATCATAAAATAAAATAAATAATAATTAAAACACAGGGCCCACAGGAGGGCTCAGCAGGCAAAGGTGCTCATTGCCAACCCTGTCCACCTGATTCAATACTCTGGTCACACAGGGTAGAAGGAGAGGACTCGCTTCTGCAAGTAGTCCTCTGGCTTCCACATCCTCGTGCCTTAAGAGCCCACTCTCTGACCTGGGTATCATACACACATATGGATATAAAATAAAAATTTAAATGTAATTAAAATACAAGAAAAATAGGGTAGGTGATAATTGACTATTTCAGACAAAAAATCAAAATGGAAAAACTGCCAATCCTTGACGTGTGCCTCCATTCTGCACTTCCTCCCCTCCGACGGCCACTGCTATTGACGCTACAGTTCCCATTCCACACAGCAGCAAAGGGCACCCCACACACTAAAGCCAGGCTCTACTCAGCAGACTTTTCCGTAGCTCCTTCATTCCTCTGCATTAAAACTAAAGTCCTTGTAAGGAAAAAAAAAAATGTCACCAAGTGTGGTAGCCCAGGCCTCAGATCCAGCATTGAGAAGCAGATCAGGTATCTCTGTGAGCTTGGGGCCAAGACAGCCAGGGCTTCATTGAGATCCTGTCTGTCCAAAATTTTTAACATTCTGTTGTTTTTTCTTTTGAGACAGGTCTCACTATGTAGCTCTGATTGTCCTGGAACTCACTTTGTAGACCAGGCTGGCCTCAAGCTCAGAGATCCACCTGCCTCTGCCTCCTGAGTGCTGGGATTAAAGGTACGCACCATCACATTCATCTTAAAAATTACATTTTTATAAAAAAGTTTATTTTGCATTATTATTATTATTATTATTATTGGTTTTTTGAGATAGGCTTTCTGTGTATCTCTGGCTGTCCTGGAACTCATTCTATAGAAGAGGCTAGCCTCAAATTTACAGAGATCCACTTGTCTCTGCCTCCCGAGTGCGGGGATTAAAGGTGTGCACCACCACCGTCTGGTGTTTGTTTTTATTTTATGTGTATGAGTGTTTTGCCTACAGGTATGAGTATGTATTGTGTGCACATAGTACTGACAAGGGCCAGAGAGCGAGCCCTGGCTTCCCAGCAACTGGAGGTACAGACAGTTGTGAGTTGCCTGCCACGTGGGGCCTGGGAATTGAATCTCAGTTCCTGGCAGAGCAGTCAGTGCTCTTAACTGCTGAGCCATCTCTTCTGTCCCAAAAAATGAAAAGAGCTCTAAATTACATCTTAGTGTGCACATATGTGTGCATGTGCAATGCCTAACTGCAGAGGTCAGAGAGGAGCTCAGGAAGGTGGTTCTCGGTGTGTGTGTGGGCTCCGTGTCCACAAGGCCCCACACTGGACCAGGTCACCTCTCTGCTTTCACCTCCTCTTACTTCCCCCTCCTTTCTTTTACCCGGGAACATCTGGCCTCAGGACTTTTGCACTTGTTGTTTCTGATGCTGGAAAGTCTTTTCGTGCTGGCCTTCACGGCTGTGACACCCACACTGGAGGACTCGATGCAATGACTATCTGGAGCACAGGACCAGCGGAGCCACAGAATGAGACTGAGGCCTCAACCCCACCCCATAGAAACATTCCTCCCTCTTTTTCTGACAGTTCAAAATTTGAAATGTCCTTCCTATCTTCCTCGATTTTCAGTTTTTTGTTTTTTGACATTAATTTATTTATTTTGTGTGTGCGTGTGTGAGTGTAGCGGTCACAGGACATCTGGTGTGTGTCAGTTCTACCCTTGTACCATGGGGATCTCAGTAATCACGTTTGGCAGCAAGCTCCTTCCCATCCACTGGACCCTCTCACTCGCCCTGCTATGACCCTAGCTCAAGGTGCTTTTCTCAGGCTTGGGATTTGTATCCATTCTGGTAAGGTCATTCCATTTGTGTCACTATAAGGACACATCTCACCAGCCATGCAGCTGCTCACAAGTTGACCGACTCAGCCATTCAGAGCACAGACACTGGGGAGCATTGTGGAGTGGGGAAGAAAGTCTGCTCACAGAGTATTCAGGAACCCCGCTCATTGTGTCCTTATCAATGCCCTGGAGACTCAGTACTGAGGCCCCGCCCACAAGTGTCAATGGGGTGACCAGTCTGTGGTGGTAGGTTTGTGAGCACCCCTCCCCTTCTCTCCTCCCGAGGTCTGCTTTCTGCTGCTTCTATTCAAACCTCTAAACTGAGGGAGATAGGGACCATTGTTGCGTCTGGCATTTGTTCGGAGTGATGCATGGTGGAGCTGTATTGTTTCATTACAAATACCTAATTAGGGGCTGTTGAAATGGGTCAGCAGGTAAAGGTGCTGGCCACCAAGCCTGATGACCTGAATTTGATCTGTTAGTCTCACAGGGTGGAAGGGAGAACTTACTCCCAAGGTTGTCCTCTGGCTTCCACATACACCAAACTAATAAGTAAATGTAATGAAATTTTAAAAAAGAAGTAACTAATTAGGACCCGCCTGTCACAAGGAACAAGCTGAAGCCACCTCCACCTTTTCCCCTACGAGCCGAGTGTGGTGGCACACTCCTGTCACCCCAGCACTCTGGAGGCAGAAGTAGGCACATCCCCTGTGACTTCCAGACCTGTTTGGTCTACACAGCATACTTCAGGCCACCCAGTAGCGAAAGCCTTTCTCAAAAATATCCCAAAGGACACTCCCAGAGGCCTTAAGATCACTGAATGAAAATTTCAGTACCAAGGGTGGACTGCCTCCCTGTGAGTTGTTGTTGGCCACTGAGGCCCTACAAACCGTGAAGTCTTCTCCTGCTGTCCGTTGTATGTCAGGACTAAACACACAAATTTAAAAACTGCAGTTGAGTGTTTGAGGTTTCCTAACTCCACCATGGACTGTGAGGGATTTAATCATTATTTGTAGCTGTTGTTGTTAATGTTTTTGAGACAGGGTCTCACTATATCGCCTTGGGCTGGGGGAGTCTGGAGGACTCTGTGTACGCCAGACTGGCCTCCTGCTCACCGAGATACAGAGGTGTGTGCCTCTGTGCCCAGTTTGGAATGGTGAGTCTTGCTATAGAGTCCTAGACAGCAACCCTCCTGCCTCAGCCTTGAGTGATGAAATTATAGACATGAGCCACCACACCCAGCTAAGGGTGGCATCACAGACATAAGAAAGTCTGTGTATGGAGTTAGGTACTCACAATGCTCCAGTGTGTGAGAGAAAGGACAGCCACAGTGTTGGTCCTCACTTTCCCCACCTTGGTCTCTTGTGCGCCACTGTGGATACCAGGGCACCTGGTCTGTCAGCCTCCAGAGAGTCTCTTGTCTGCGATCCTATTTGCAGGTGCCCCCAGCCAAGCCTGTCTTTATCTGCGTCCTGGGGATTTAAAGTTAGGTCCTCAGGCCTCTGCAGAAAGTACTTTACACACTGGTGTAATGGTTTCCTCCAAGACTAAACATCACATCCTTCCGGAAGCTCCTCAAGCAGGAAGATAAATAACTCAAACTAGCCTCAGGAAGTCCCTGAAACTGACCAGAATCAGCAGGCCCCTCCCTGCTAGAGTAAGCCATAAAGTGGAGCGTTCCTCTGAGACTTGCAGAACAGAGCTGCAGGAAGACTCTGAGGTTTAGACAACCGAGGCACCTGGAAAGGATGCTCAA